TCCCCAGCCCCCATCACCCTGAGGAGAGACCAGAGGAAATCCAGCCACCACTTCTGGGCCGTGGCAACGTGAAAGCCATTCCTGGGACAAGCAGGAGAAGACCTGGTGTCAGTCTGAGCCCACCCGCTGTGCTCACCAGACCCCCACCCTCACCCCACACTGGGCCGAGTGGGCCCTCCTGCTGGAGGACTGGAGTTCATGCCTGACACACTGCAGCCAGTGTTGGTTCCTGGATGGACCAGGAGTGCCGCCCTGGTGCCAACACCAGTGGTGGCGGCGACGTGTGTGTTCGGGAGGGCGCATTCGGGAACTCAGTGCTTTCCACTCAGTTTTGCTGTGCACTTACCAGTGCTCTAAAAATTAGTGTTAAAACACTGCAGCCAGCTGGAATCGGCCTGGGTGGGGGTGGGGATGGGGGTGAGGGAAGGGGGGAGAAGCAGCTCTTGCTCTAAAAGTGGTGCCTTTTGAGGTCTGTGACCTTAACATGCAGACGCGAGCATTGTGCAGCCCAGGTTGGGTGAGGCACGGTAAAGTGTCACAGGTGAAGGGCCTGAGTGCCCTGTGCCAAGTCGTGCTGACTTGGGGACCCACCTGGGGGGCTGTCGGGACCCACTCTGTTGGCAGAGCTCTGGAGCGCAGCCAGCCGGCTCCTCACGTTGCGGAGTCCCTCTGCGAAGCGGGTCTCCTGGACCTTCAGCAGCTGCTGCAACTGGCGGATGGCCGTGAGGACCTGCTGCTTGTTGAGGCAGCTCTGGGGACAGAAGGACCACCACCCACGATGGCTGGTTCACTCGCTCTCGGCTTCCAAAGCCACCCAGACCCCTGGCCCGACAGGGGGATGTGAAAGTGGCCTCGTGGGCACCCTGCCCTGCCCAGAGTTCCCGCTGGACCAGATGACGCCCCCACCACACGTAGCGTAGCCCCGTGCACCCTTCAACAAAAGCAAAATGCCCACCTTCAGAGCAAAGGGCAAAACGGATGATTCTATATGACTGGGTGGGTGGACACTGGTTTGTACCCAAAGTGCCTTATGTTCAGTAGCCTTCACTCCAAGATGTCCCCACTCTGCACTCTAAATTATGCTCTAAATCTGCGCCTTTGTCAAGTTTTTCTTTCTCCCTTGGCCTTTTTAAAAGCAGGTGGGCAATATGACCTACAAAACAGGCAAAACAGGAAGGCTCCATAGGCCCCATACTTTTAGCAATGTAACAGGGCAAATAAGAAAACAACTATAGAGTTAGAGAAGCATTCAACAAAAGTCAAGACCCAGTTCTGATGATGTTTTAAAAGCTTAAAAAAACAGAAAAAGGACTTAGCTGGTTTGACTCAGTGGAAAGAGCATTGGCCTGCGGACTGATGAGTCCTGGGTTTGATTCCGGTCAAGGGCACATGCTCGGGTTCAATCTCCAGTGTTGGGGCGTGCAGGAGGCAGCCAATCAATGATTCTCTCTCATCACTGATGTTTCTATCTCTCTCCCTCTCCCTTCCTCTCTGAAATCAATAAAAATTTATTAAAAAAAACCAAACAAATAAAAAAAGGAGGCTTGTGCTCTGCATGATAAAGGCTAACTTAAAGCCACACCTGCATCATACTTAGTGATAACAGTTTTAAGGTTCCCAATCTCAACTGTGCGTAAGAGCCAGGGTATGAGGAGGGAGGCTGGAGGAGGGGTAAGTACAGTGGGTGGTGATAGGACATGGGGCTCACCTCAGTGTGGCCGCGTCTGACCTGACCCATTACCTGCATGAAACAAAGGCGAACATTAGACGATAAACGACTGTTTTCTGTAGAGATAGGCTTATGCATCATTTTTCATTTTACTTTCTTTATACTTACTTTTTTTCCACAATGATTATTAGTTTTATAATTTAAGTTTTTTTCTAAAAGGGCAGCAGGGCGGCGGCAGTCACGGGGCTTCTGGCCACCACGGTGGAAACAGAGTCGCTGAGGCTCTCCCAGGGAGCCTGCCAGGCCGCTGCATCTCGGAGGTTTGGCCAACAGATGACTCAGCGGCCTGACTCAATGGGCGCTTTTGACAAAGCTGAATCCCCAGTTGCCCTGGACCTCGTTAACCCACGGGGCATCCTTGGCTCATTCCGCCCTGACCAGGGCCTGACGGGGCCTGGCCCCTAAGGCAGCTGCTGGGAAGAGAAGTTTTGTTTGTTTCCTTCTTCCTCCCCCGCGTGTCCTTCCCACTCAGGCCTGGGCGCCCGGGCAGCGCCCCTGGCAGCCCCTGGCAGCCCCTGCCTGCCCGGCATTGCCCAGACATCCCACCCAGGCCGCACTTCCCACACCCACGCCCCTCCCTTCAAAAAGCTGCTTTGATTAGATGGCTTCGTGGCTTCTGTGTGACAGACATTGAGAAGTTCACAATTTACAAAGCTACCGGCCCCTTCAGAGAGTACTAGTGGCTGGAGCAAGGCTTGGGATGGCGTCTGTCACCGATGAAGATAAGAGGCTGAAAGCCAAGCAGCTTTCCCCAGATCATGGGGCTTAGGAGCTGTGGAGCCTGGCTGGGCCCCCGCTGGCTCCCATCTGCCACCCTAAGCCGTCAGCGACCCTCTGCACTGTCTTGTGCCGTCTCATTTGTCCCCCACAGGCCCCTGGACGGTGAGTGGGCTTCTTGATGCATCTGCAATAGACATTGGTAACTCGATGGCCCAAGCAAAATAGCCCACAGGAGTGAATTTCTAACTCTTTGCAAATTTCAGGCTGCGTGGCCTGGATGATGGGGCTGGAAGTGGAGAGGGAGCGGAGGCAACATCCCTCCCCACGTTGAGCCAAGCCAGCAGCTGCCTCCCTAGCTGGGAGAGGACTCGCTGGGCTGGGCTGCCCCAAGGGACATGGAAGGGCTGTTTTAAAATTGGGGGAGAGGAGATCGGTGCCAAGACCTCTGTCTCGAACCTGGGGGTGGCATGGAGCCCCAGAAAGTAGAGAAAGAAGGGGAGCGAGTGTGGAGGGAAATGGGCGCAGCAGCCAAGTGTGTCTGAGCCCAGTGCAAGTTTGGGCACAGCTATCCTCTGCGTGTAGGTACCCTTCCCGGGACCCTCCGCCCCCGCACTGTGGAGAATGAGCACCAGCTGCTTCCCCCTACATACTCATTAGGCGTGAGAAGGGCTCATCCAGTCATAATGGGAAACCCTTCAGACCAAGCACACTGAGGCCACATCCCAGGCGGGAGGGAGAGGGGAGAGTTGTGGGTGGACTGGCTGAGGGAAGGTTGGGAAGCCCGGCCCATTCATTCCCGCCTCCAGCATCGCAGGAGTGATGCTAACAGAGGAAGGTCCTTGAGAGCCTAGAAATAAATCCATGCACAGATGGTCAATTATTAATGCGAAGGAATCAAGACTATACAATGGGGAAGGAAGACAGGCTCTTCAACCGATGGTGTCGGGAAGACAGGGCAGACACAGACAAAAGGATGAAGTGGGACCCACCATACACAAAAATCAACTCAAACTGGAATAAAGACTTGGATGTAAGACGTGAAAGCATCAAACTCCTAGAAGAAAACAGGTGGAAAACTCCTTGACACCAGTCTTGGTAATGATTTTTTTGGATTTGACACCAAAAGCAAAATAAGCAAGAAGGACTACATCAAACGAAAAAGCTTTTACACAACAAAGGAAACAAACCATCAATCAAATGAAAAAGCAACCTACTGAATGGAAGAAAAATTAATCCACAGTTAAGGGATTAATATTCAAAATATATAAATAACTCACACAAAACAACAGCAAAGCAACCCAAACAATCCTATTAAAAAATGGGCTGAGGCCTGGCTGGTGTCGCTCAGTGGTTGAGCATCGAGCTATGAATCAGGAGGTCACGGTTCCATTCCCGGTCAGGGCACATGCCTGGGTTGAGGGCTCGATCCCCAGTAGGGAGGGTGTGCAGAAGGCAGCTGATCAACTATTCTGTGTCATCATTGAAGTTTCTCTCTCTCTCTCCCTCTCTGAAATCAATAATCCTATATAATAAAAGGGCAATATGCAAACCGACCAAATGGCGAACGAATGCTCAACGCAGGAACTGCCCCCTGGTGGTTAGTGCACTCCTACAGGGGGAGCACAGCTCAGCTAGAAGCCAGGCTCACAGCTGGTGAGCGAAACGGTGGTGTCAGGAGCCTCTCCCGCCTCTGAATTTGGACATCCCCTCAGGGGTCCCGGACTGCAAGAGGGGCAGGCTGGGCTGAGGGACTGCCCCCCCCCCCGGCCCCAGTGCACAAATTTTCGTGCACCAGGCCTCTAGTATATATATAATTGGACAGAGGATCTAAATAGACATTTTCCCAAAGAGGACATGACTAACAGGTACACGAAAAGGTGAGTGACATCATTAATCAATCATCAGGGAAATACAAATCAAAACCACAATGAAATAGCACCTCACACCTGTCAGAATGGCTATCATCAATAAATCAACAAACAAGTGTTGGTGAGGATGTAGAGAAAAGGGAACCCTCTCCCTGAGTCTAGGTACCCTTCCCATTTATAGTGTAGCTACCATAGAAAGCAGTATGGAGGTTGGTGTAGCTACCATGGAAAGCAGTATGGAGGTTCCTCAAAAAATTAAAATATAGCCCTGGCTGGTGTGGCTCCGTTGGCTGGGCATGGTCCTGTTCACCAAAAGGTTGCCAGTTCAATTGCTGGTCAGGGCACATGCCCAGGTTTTTGGTTCAATTCCTGGTAAGGGACGTGAGGGAGGCAGCCAATCAATGTTTTGTTCTTACACCAATGTTTCTCCCTCTCCCTTCCACTCTCTCTAAAGATCAATTTAATTTTTTTAATTAAAAATACAACTACCTTATGACCCAGCAATTCCACTTCTGGGTATTTATTTAAAGAAAATGAAAACTGTAATTAAAAAATGCACTCCTATGTTCACTACAGCTTTCTTTTCTTTCTTTTTTTTTTTAAAAAAATTTGATTTTTAGAGAGAAAGGAAGGGAGAGGGAGAGAGAGAGTGAAACATTGATGTGGGATGGAAACATCCATCAACTACCTCCTACATGCCCCTACTGGGGATTGAGCCCAGAACCCGGGCATGTGTCCTGACCAGCAATTGAATTGGCAACCTTTCCGGTGCATGGGACGACACCCAACCAAGCCACACCAACCAAGGCTACAGCATTATTCTCAATAGGCAAGACATGGATAGAATCTAAGTGTCCACTGATGGATAAATGGAAAAAAGGTGTGAGATATATATATATATATATATATATACACACACACACATATATATATATAGTCCCAAAAATATATATATGCACACTTTGAATAATTATGAAAGCAGTGTTTATTAAAATACATTTCATTTTCACAATTGAGCTATCAGCTGTTAAAGTGTGTCTATATTTTTGGGGACACCCTGTATATACAATTCCGCCATAAAAAATGAAGAAAATCCTGCAATTTGCAACAATATGGATAGACTTTGAGGGCATTATGCTAAGTGAAATAAGTCAGACAGAGAAAGATAAATACTGTATGATCTCACTTGTATGTGGAATGTAAAAAAAATAAACTCCTGGATACAGAGAATAAATTGGTGGTTGCCAGAAGCTGGGGTCGGGGTGGTGGTGAAAATAGCTGAAGGTGATCAAAAGATAAAAAGTTCCAGCTACAGGTCCTGGGGACCTAGTGTACAGCAGGTGACTGTAGTCAACAGTGCTGGGTTGCATGTTTGAAAGTTGCTATGAGAGTAGATCATTAAAGTTCTCATCACAAGAAAAACAATTTGTAATTATGTGAGGTGATAGATATGAACTGACTTATGGTGGTGATCATTTCACAATATATACATATATCAAATCACTAAGCTGTACGCCTGAAACTAATATAGTGCTGTATGTCCATTGTAGCTCAATACAACTAGAGCAGTGGTTCTCAACCTTGGCTGCACATTAGAATCACCTGGGAATCTTTTTAAAATCCTGATTTCTGGGCCTCATCCTCCGGAAATTCTGTTTCTTTGTTACTAATGTTGTGGCCCCACCCCATAACAAAGAAACAGAATTTCCGGAGGATGAGGCTCAGAAATCAGGAGTTTAAAAAGATTTCCAGGTGATTCTAATGTGCAGCCAAGGTTGAGAACCACTGAACTAGAGGAAACAAAAAAGAAAGTCCCTGAGTGGGGAGGGAGGGAGGAAGGTCTTTGAGGTCTTGGCAAGCCAGCGTGCAGGGTCTGGGCCGAGTATGAGGGAAACAGATTTAGTGGCTTCGGATGTGATGTCTGATGAGTTGGCTGCAGCTGCCATTACAAGGGTGGATCCTTGATCCCCAAGTGCTAAATGGAGCCCTTGGGAGCCATGCCCAGAATCTGTCACCTGTCGTTACCTCAATTCATCTGCAGAGCCAGGTGCTCAAGAGGTCTGCATTATGGGCACAAATGGGGCCCAGAGCGCACTGGAGACCTGAGTGTGTCCCCTTTCAGACCGAGAAGGCTTTATCATGTCACCTGATCGTAAAGCATACTCCCTACAAAACATCAAAGCAAAGAACAAATCCCGTGACCAGAGGCACCCCTGCTAACCGCTGTTGGATGGGACACACATGCACACACACGAGGGTCATCATCATACACTGGGCCACAGGGCACGGGTTCTGTCCACTTTCTTGTGGACACTGGGTTGTGGCATCGTTTCACACCGAGAAGCAGAGCAGCTTGTCGGACCCGGGCCTGGATACCACTTCCGCTCCTCTGTGCTCTTTCAGTCTGGGGAGGGGCTCCTTGCGC